GGCCTCGCAACCTATAGTCTACTGCTCTGAGCTGCTGACATCCTGGGCAGAGATTGCGGCATTGTGTGATGGTGATGGTGTGTCCCACCCTCACCCAAAGCCTGGGGCACAGTAAACACAGCTTGGTCGCTGGGGTCACTCCAGCAGAAAGGCCCAATCCAGACCAGAATCTGCTGACAGGCCGCGGAGAGTGGAGCAGAGGCACAGCACAGGGCTCGGCTGCATCTCCGTTCTCTGTCTCGTTCTGCAGGATGTGACCACGCAGTCTGTGATGGGCTTTGACCCTCTGCCTCCTTCAGATACCATCTACTCCTACACCAGGCCAGAAAGGTACCTGTCCACCGCTCCTGGTGCCTTTGCATTCTGGCTCTCAGATCAGTGCTTCGGGCCGGGGACTTGCTGCCTCCTCCAGACACAGGCTCTCAGAGCAGAGTGATTTGGGGTCATGGGTCAGCGTTTCCAGGCGTGGGTGCTTTCCATGTATTTGTGTGACTAGAGCATCGCTCTGTCAGGTTCTGTGGCAGGTGCTGCACATACAGTGGGAAGCAGTAAGGACACCTCTGCCCTGGTGGCATGTCCAGTGCAGTGGGGGAAACACGTCAGGTATAGAATCTGGAAACTGCCACCAGGAACTGCTGAGAGTGGAGGGTACACTGAGATTTGGGGTGCCCTAGCCAGGTAAAGAGGTGACATCGGAAGGTGGCTGGGCCAGGGAAGCAGGGCCACGTCCACAGCTGCTGGGTGTGTGTGGACGGCTCCCTTTTTCCTTCTGGCCTTTAAAGCTGAGGAATTGCCTTACCCAGAGCCCTCACCATGTCCTAGATCTGGAAGAGGCACCAACAAGTGGTCCCACTTAAGGGAGCATGAGCTTTCAGATCTCAGAAGAGCACGTTTTGTAGAAGTCCCTTTTTCCTCACCAAAGTATAAGGGTTGGATTGCTTATTCATAGGTAACAGTTCCCAGTAAACTGCCCCAGTGGAAATTATTGTCAGTGTCCTAGGCTCGGGCTGGACCTCTTCGCACTGAGGAGTGGCTGTAGCTTCAGTGACTCAGCATTGTCCCCCCCCGCAGCCGTGTAGACCTTGGGCTTTCAGAGCAAATGAAGGTCACTGCGGAACAGCACCTCCGTGTCTCCCAGAGCTGGGTCGCAGCACCTCATTTCACCAGGAGGGGCCTTCCCTTAACACTTGCCCTCGAATCGCTTTTTTTTTTTTTTTTTAAAGATATAGTATTTTTATTTATTTCAGAGAGGAAGGTAGAGGGGGAGAGAGAAAGAGAAACATCAGTGATGAGAGAGAATCGTTGGTCAGCTACCTGCATACCCGTACTGGGGATCGAGTCTGCAACCCAGGCATGTGCCCTTGACCAGAATCAAACCCAGGACCCCTTCAGGCCACAGGCTGATGCTCTATCCACTGAGCCAAACCAGCTAGGGCCGCTTTTTTTTTTTAAATTGATTGTTAGAGAGAGAGAAACATCAGTGTGAAAGTGAAACATCAGTCACCTGCCTCCTCCACACACCCCACTAGGAATGGAGCCTGCTGCTATCTGGGCATGTGTCCTGACTGGGAATCAAACTGGCAACCTTTTAGTGCACAAGACAACACCCAGCCAACTGAGCCACCCTGGCCTGGGCCGGAACCTCTCTATGACCAGTTTCCTAGACTCCTTCAGCTTGAGTGCTGAAGAACACTTTGCAACCAAATCTTTGCTTATAAGCAAGGCACCTGGCTGTGGTGGGCTATGCTTTCCACTTGGTTCAACAAGCCAGGCTATAAAGGGCCAGCCCCTGGCTCTGGAACAGTCTCCCCGTTGCTGGGTGCCGGCAGTACCCCTGAGCTGACTGTGAGTTGTGGCTGCCTGCCCCTGGGGCTCCAGGCCCCAGCTCAGCCCCGTCTCTCCAGCTGCGGCCTTTCTGTCTCTGCTTCATTTCCTCACTGTTCTTTCTCTTTCAGGCTGAGCCCCGTCAGCCATGGAAACACAATCGCCCTCTTCTTCCGGTCACTTCTGCCCAGTTACACCATGGAGGTAGGTGAGCTCACCTGGCCTCTCTGCTGGCCACCGGGTGCAACAGGCCCCTTCAGGTGTGACTGTCCAGAGCCAGCACTGCCAGCAGCAGGGGCACCCAGTCTGCCTAGGAAGCTGGGCGTGGCTGCCAATGGGACACAACACCCCTCAGTCAGCAGGGCTGCTGGATCCCACTCTGGTGGCCTGGCCTTGTTAGGTAGACGCGTGTATATGGCTTCCAGGGGCTGCTGCCTCGACAGGTCCTGAGTGAGCTCCGTGGGCGTGCCGGGGCCCAGAGAGCCCTGCTCAGATGGGTCTCGTTGCCACAGGGGGAGAGGCAAGAGGACGGAGGGGCCGAGGGACTGGACCACAACCAGGGCCTGAACAGGCTGATGCTGGCTGTGCGAGACATGATGGCCACCTTTCACTTCCATGACCCAGAGGCTCCGCATGAGGACCACGCCGAGGGGGACGGGGAGTGGGACTGAGCACACAGCTGCCACACCCACACTGTACAATTATGTTCCTGATTTGTCTGGTCAGAATTGACCAGTTCCCTGAAGTAAAAATGCCATGTCCGTCTGCCTCCCTGTCTCTCCTGTACACGTGAACGTTATGCCTGCGCATGTGAGCTCTTTCCCAAGCTGGGTCAGTGCCCAGCGTGAGGCAGGGGCCCTGTGTGCTTCTGTCGGCCCTGGGGCAGGTCCAGGGCGGGAGAGCAGGCACCAGGTCCCCGGGCTGGGCACACAGGCGGGTCTTTCCAGTCTGACACAACGTTTTTATTGGAAAACACTGAGTCGGGAGCCTGCGAGATGATGGCTCAGGAATGGACGGCAGAGATTGGGGGCATTTGATCTGCAGCGTGACCAGAACATGGAGGCAGGCTTGTTGGCAGCTGAGAACCACACCAGGCTGCTGTGACTCGGGAGCCTGTTTGGTTCTGGAAGGATCCAGGGCACTGAGGTTGTGAACTGGAAGCATCCTGTCTGCAGGGCACCCTCCCGGCCCTGACCTCCCCACGTTCAAGGGAAACCAGACCACCTTTGAACCAAGGGCCAGCCCTTCCTGAGATCCCACTGCGCAGAGAGCCACGGGGCAGGCTGCACACTGCACGGCTGTGAGCCTACCCCGCTGGTGTGGCTGGGCTGGACACATGCACCCCTTCATTGAGCTGTCCATGCCCCGTTTCCCCGTGGAGCTCACTCGCATACTGAATGCTCACATGTTGCGTGCCCACTGTGCGCCTCTTGGTGCTGGGGAGACAACAGTAACAAGACTGAGGGACTTCCTGTTCTCACAGCCTCCTCACGTGTGAGTCAGGCTCGTCGTCTCATGGTGGGACGCGCTGTTGTGTCCATTGCGTTCCTCACGCCATCTCCCAGGGCACCAGAGAGCGAATGACTCAAATGGCCTCGGGATTATCTGTGATTTCCGGAGACATCTCCCCCGTGACCGTAACTAATCACAGAGTGGACTTTTCCCAACTCACTGTATCTGCTGTCTCCCCCCCACAGCGTCCCGACAGGCGAGTGCAGTCAGAACCAATGGGGTCCTGAGGCCTCCCGGGAAGAAGGCTGTGGTCACCTGCCAACGGCTGCCCAGTCTCATGCCCTTTGAAGTCTCAGGCTGGGGTGGGGGCACTGGCCACCTCAAAGGCCTCATTTATAGGCCGGAAATGATAGCATCCCTGAAGTGTGGTGGGCAGGGCTGGAAGGCAGCTCTTGGGGGCGTGGAGCAGCAGTGGAGCCCTGGGAGGTGTGGCAGGGACCGTGGACTCTCACAGCTGCTGGGACCACCTTCCTGCCACAGCACAGCCTCATGTTCCTGCCCTGGGGCCCCCTGGGGTCCTCCACCAAAGGGTGGGAGGGGGTGTGCGGTGGGGCCCGTCCTGTGCTGCTGCCTGTGGAGCTTGGAGAGGCCCGTCATTCCATCCACACCTGGGAGTGGGGGCTGCAACCTCCAGAAACGCACCTGGTCCCCCTGTGGAAAGTGGTTTGGCCGAGCTACCAAAGCAGAGATCTGCCTCGGCCACGGAATTCCTGTGTCACCCAGAGGGACGCCTGGCTGCTCACCAGACACGGCAGGAGCGCCCAGCGGCACTGTGATGGGTTGGGAGCTGCCCCGATGACCAGTGTGGTTGGGGGTCTCCATGCTGAGGAGGCACAAACCTAGCTCAGGGCCTCCACCACGCTGCGTATTTATACGGTGTGTGCTGTACCTGTGACGTGCTTCAAAAAAGGAGGGGAGAGCTTTGTACCATAAGTTGTGCGCTGGAAGGAGTGATTAATATTGATAAGTGGACATCAGTGTGTGCTCATATGGGCCCGTCAAGCCATCTGGCAGCCGGTGGACGGGAAGGAATGAGCAGGGATATCATAACTCAAAGAACAGACCTGCTCGGCCGGGTATCTCAGTTGGTTAGAGCATCATCCCCATACACCAAGGTTGTGGGTTCGATCCCCTGGTCAGGGCACGTACAAGAATCAACCAGTATCTGTAATGCTTTCAACAATAAAAATAAAAATTTTAAAAAGCAACCAGTGATTGCCTAAATAAGTGAAACAACAAATTGAAGTTTCTTTCTCTTCCTTCCTCTCTAAAAATCAATTTAAAAAAGAAAAAGAAAAAACACAGACCTCCCCAACTCCCTCCCGGCCCCATCTCCGCCGCCAGCCACTTATCTTTCTGGTCGCCTCACTGTCCCCTTCCCCTTCTGCCTCGGCCTCCAGAGCAGGGTTTGTGGTCACAGGTGCCATCAGTGAGGAAGTGCTGGGGTGGCATGAGGCCAGCGCGGTGCCCACGGGCACTCTGGGCCCGTGTTCCCACAGCGGCCACGTGGCTGGAGACTGAGGTCTGTCTGGAAGTGGCTCCTGGCTTGGAGCCTGTGGTGTCCTTCCCCAGAACAATGGGGCTGCCGGCAGCTCTGTCCGAGCCCCCCCCCCCCCCGATGACACAGCGTATCTTCCAGCCCATGGGCCAGGCTGTCCTCGGGCAGCACTCAGCAAAGGGACTGGGGGGCCTGGGGACGCGCTGCCCTCAGTGAACATCTAACAGGGAGTGGGGGTGGACGGCCAAAGGCCAAAGACGCTTCCGGGCAGAGCAGCATGGGCTGGCCTCAAGAACCGGAGGCCTCCAGGAGGTGGTGTTTGCCACGGGCCTGGCGGAGGGTTTGCCTCTGGCAGGTCAGGTCGAGAGGACACCCCACACAGGCGCCTGGAGCCGAGGCCTGACTGGGCGCTGGCTGGCAGAACACTGGTGACGCTGCAGTGGCTGTGAGCAGGAAGGGGAATGTCGCTGTGCCCGGAGTTGGGGCCTGGGAAGCCGCCTGGTGGCAGCAGGGGTGCCCAGGGTGCTCTCTGATGAATCCCCGGGCACACGCCCGTCATGTGGCAGCCCTCAGGAGGAGGGGCTGAGCGGACGACGTGAAGCATGTAGAGAAAGGCTCCATTCTTCCTGGACCGCAGTCCTGCCTGGCCTGGGAGGCAGGAGGCATAGAAATGTGAGGGCCTGAGCGACCACACCCCAGGGGAGAGGTGGGGAGTGGACCGAGGGACAGAGGGTTGGTGCTGCGGAGCTTGGGGTCCTGGCTGGGAAGTGACCAGGTTGGTCGAGAAGCGGGGGCACCTGGGCTAGCATCCGTCCAGCCAGGGAGAGGGTGAGTGTGAGAGGGCCCCGGGGGTGCATAGGGCCCCACTGGGGACACCATGAGCTGAGCGGATGCCCGTCGCGGGAGGCCCCTTCCTGCTTCCTGGTGGGACTATGCTGGCACAGGGCCCCCAGAGGAGGCTGCTGGGCATCCTCAACTCCACCTCCCCAGCCACCCCCCACCTCGGGCTGGCCCCCAACCAGACGGGCACCTGGTGCCTGGAGGTGTCCATTCCCAACGGGCTCTTCCTCAGCCTGGGGCTGGTGAGCCTGGTGGAGAACGTGCTGGTGGTGGCCGCCATCGCCAAGAACCGCAACCTGCACTCACCCATGTACTTCTTCATCTGCTGCCTGGCCGTATCGGACCTGCTGGTGAGCGTGAGCAACGTGCTGGGCACAGCCGTGGTGCTGCTGCTGGAGGCGGGTGCGCTGGCGGCCCAGGCCACCGCAGTGCAGCAGCTGGATGACGTCCTGGACGTGTTCATCTGTGGCTCCATGGTGTCCAGCCTCTGCTTCCTGGCCGCCATCGCCGTGGACCGGTACATCTCCATCTTCTATGCGCTGCGCTACCACAGCATCGTGACGCTGCCCCGGGTGTGGCGGGCCATCGCGGGCATCTGGGTGGCCAGCGTCGTCTCCAGCACCCTCTTCATCGCCTACTACGACCACACGGCCGTCCTGCTCTGTCTGGTCAGCTTCTTTGTGGCCCTGCTGGCGCTCATGGCGGTGCTGTACGTCCGCATGCTGGTGCAGGCGTGCCAGCACACCCGCGGCATCGCCCGGCTGCACAAGAGGCAGCGCCCTGCCCCCCAGGGCTTCGGCCTCAAAGGGGCTGCCACTCTCACCACCCTGCTGGGCATCTTCTTCCTCTGCTGGGGCCCCTTCTTCCTGCACCTCCTGCTCATCGTCCTCTGTCCTCAACACCCCACCTGCCACTGCATCTTCAGGAACTTCAACCTCTTCCTGGCCCTCGTCATCTGCAACACCATCGTGGACCCGCTCATCTATGCCTTCCGAAGCCCGGAGCTCCGGAAGACGCTCCAAGAGGTGCTGCAGTGCTCCTGGTGAGGGCGGTGCCCGAGGGCTCAGGCCAGGTGCTGGGCAGAGGGGGTGGCAGTCACTTGCCAGAAAGGACGGGCTAGATGATCTCCAAAGGTGTGGGCGCACGGACCCTCTGGGCCAGAGAGGCATCAGCAGAAAATCTCCAGGAGTTGTGGGGGATGCAGGAGGCTGGGGAGATGGGGCCACGGGCACAGGGCAGGCCTGGGCTCCTGGACAGACACAGCCCACTCGGGGAGACGTCCACCTGCACCCAGAGATAGGCGAGGACCCACTGGGCCCCCGTCCATGGGGAGGAGAAGTCCACGGCTGGCAGAGCGCCGCTCTCTCGATGAGGACCATAGGAGAAGGGACTGTAATGAGCAGGACCCGGCCTCACAGGGAAGGAGTGAGGTCCTGTCCCCGGCAGAGAGACGTGTCCGCAGGAACCGTCGTGGGCATGGGGCTGATCTCTTCTCGGGCTCATGGTGCTGGAGAGCTGGGGGCTCGGCCCATTTGTTTGCACCACACATGCCCCTCAGTTAGTGCCTGCCACTGCCTGCTCAGGCCGAGGCACAGCCATTAGTTCGAATCAGTGACCAGCACCCAGGGTCACAGGGCCGGGAAGCGTCTGGGAATAAATGGTGTGCTTGGAGCAGCTCCATTGCCATCTACACTGGCTCATTCCAAAGGTGCTTGAAGCTTGAGGGTGGAGGAGCCGTGGAGGGGCCTGGTGGGAGTGATGAAGGGGGAGGAGAATATCCCAGAACCCCCGAAGGACCCAGCATGCCTGAAGCCCCAGCCCAGTTGCACCTGCTCTGATGCTGTCTGCCTTCTCCGTGTATGCGAACCCGGCCTCAGGCAGCTGGAGGGCGGAGTCCTGCCCCCAGGCACCTCTATGGAGAGGAGGCTGAATGGTCCAGGCTTCCCTCAGCTGCAGCAGAAGCAGGACCTCCGTGACCCACTGTGACCTTGGCCGGAGCACAGCGGGCCTCACCTGCTCTGGGTCACCCCAGGGGGTCCAAGGTGCAGGGTGGGTCAGGACTGGGGTTCTCGTTCCTCCAGCACTACCAGCCCTGGCAGATATTTGAGGCAAGGCCGCCCAGAATGGGGCGAGGCTGTCCAGTGGCTGCAGGCGGTGTCCCTGGGATTGGTATCTGGGGTGGCCCTTGCTACACGGTGTTGAGGGCCCTTGGGTCCTCCCTGTGCTAAAACCCTGGGCCTCTTTCTGGGGAGCCACTGGTTCCTCCAGACGCCGAGCATGCAGTCAGCCCTATTCCTGGTACAGGCTCAGTGGAGGTGAAAGTGATGGCGTCAGCCAACTCCCAGGTAGTTCTAGATGCATCTGCAGCCGCCTGACCAGTCCCCACCTCACCCGTGCTGGCAGCTCCAGCCCTGACTGTTGGCCTTGGTGCTGGGAACTGGTTCCCGGCAGGCCCAGCCTTTGCTGGAAGATGGACAGGATGGTGAGTCAGCCTTGAGCCCTCTGGGGATGGAGGGGGAGCCAGCCTGGTCCGATGCCATTCCACAGGGAGGCCAGCCGGTGACGGGTCCTGGCCTACAGGATGCTGCAAAGCTTCTGCTGCTCAGACAGGGAGGCACAGCCGGCTCCAGGGAAGAGCCAAATGCTCACCAAGGACCCCCTGAATGGGGACAGGGCGGAGCCCCAGTGGCCAGAAGCCAACCACAGGAAGCCACCTCATGGACACTGTGGGGGAGGGGCTTCTCTTGAGAACAAAAGACCCACTTCCAGGCTTGCCAAACTGGGGAGCTTCGAGAGGGCGGAGAGAGGGGCCTGGACACGGCCACACCCCGCCAGGCCCCTCCTGGCACACACTCCGGACACAGGTGTGCCCGAAAGCTCGCTCAGCCGACTGGGTGCCCTCCTGGAGGATTTGTCCCTGAAACATCAGAAGGACCTGTTCTAAGGCGTCTTCACGTGGTGTCTGAGCCCCGGAGAACAGGAAGCCGTGGTTCTGTGTGTGTTGTGTGGTGGTGTCTGTGTTCACGGGAGGGTCCCCTCCCGGCTCTTCCGACAGTGGGCCCTTCCCCAGTTTTCCCTGCAGGAACCTGCACCTGGTGCACACACAGCTCCTACACGCGCCCCTCCCCCCACTGCCTTGGCCCCACGTGGACCAAGGGTCCAGACCCACAGGTGACATCAGGGAGTAAGAAAGGACTGCACACCCCCACTCTGTCGGCCCCTCGCCTGGTGTGTGTCCTCATGACAGTTCCCGGCACAATATTCCCTGAGCAGTGCTACCTTCGGGGGGACGGGGGAGGGGGGACGCACACAGCAAGGCCCGTGTGTAATCTGCGGCAGCGGCGGGGGAGGAGGGGGTGGCTCCCCCACTGCAGAGGGGGCCAGCGAAACTCACAGCCACAGCCGCAGCCGCCGCAGCCCTCCCGCACCCACAGCCACTCTGACTCCGGATTTCTCAGCCCTGCGCTGGCTGCTGGGCCTTTACCTGCCCCCCACACCCCCACCCCCCATCCCAGCCCCTACGGGGTCCAGAAGAGCTCGAGTACCTTGTCGGCCCCTCGGGCACAGACAGGAGCGGGGAGGCGTCCACCTCACCCATTGGGGTGGGAAGAGGGGGTCGGTCCCTAAGCGGGTGTGGGGAGGTGAGACCCTCCTGGCAAAGCCGGTGGATCCGAGGGGGAGCCGGGGCGGGGTCCAAGGACCCAGGGCCTTCCATTGTCCTCCCCGGGAGCCCGCCAGCCCCTCCTTTTCGGGTGAGCGGGTCCCCAGCCCCGCGCCAGCCGC